TTTCGCTTACATAATGCTCTCAAGTTCCATCCGTTTTCCTGCAAATGCCATAATTTTATTTTTCTTTATGGCTGAATAAATCTCCATTGTGTGTATATACCACATCTTCTATATCCGTTAACGGACACCTAGGCTAGTTCCTCAGTGTGCCTTTCGTGAGTTGTGCTGCTATAAACATGGGTATGTAGGCCAGATGACTTTATTTCGTAGGATAAATCCTGAGGAGTGGTACAGCTGGGTCATTTGGTGGCTCCAACCTGGTCTTCTGAGACACCTTCATACTATTTCCATAGTGACTGTACCAATTTACAGTCCCCCAACAGTGTGAAAGAGCTCCTTTCTCTCCACATCCTCTCCAACCCTCACTATTATTGGTATTCTCGATGGCTGCCGTTCTGACTGGAGTGAGATGAATCTCAATGTCATTTTGATTTGCATCTTCCTAATTGCTGGTGATATTTAATATATTTTCAAGTCTTTGTTGGCCATTTGTATTTCTTCTTTTGAGAAGGGTCTGTTTGTTTATTTGGCCATTTATTATTGGGTTATTTGACTTATTTTAGTGTAAAGTTTTTGGAGCTCTTTATGTATTCTAGATAATAATCCTCTGTCAGAAGAGTAGCTAGCAAAATTCACTCTGTAGCTTCTCTCTTCTCGATCTTTATTGTTTCCTTGTTGTGCAGAAGCTTTTTAATTGGATGCTGTCCCGTTTATTAACTCTTGGCATTATCTCCTGAGCTTTAGGACTCCTATGGAGGAAGTTATTGGCTGGAGTGCTGACCCTACATTTTCTTTAAGGAGTTGTGTAGTTTCTGCTCTAATTATAGGATCTTTGATCCATTTGAATTGAATTTTGTGCAGGGTAAGAGATAAGAGTCTAGCTGCATTCTACATATGGATAATCGGTTTTTCCTGTATTGTTTGTTAAAAAGCCTGTCTTTCTCCAATTACGTTTGGCAGCTTCGTTAAGGATCAGATGACTGTGTGTGTGCGGGGTTGTCTCTGTGTCTTCTGTTCTGTCCTTTTGGTCTCTGTGCCTGTTTTTATGTCAGTACCATGCAGTTTTGGTTACTATAACTCTGTAGAATATTTGAGGTCAGGTATTATGGTGCCTCCAGGATTGCTTTTTTGGCTTAAAATTGGTTTGGCTAATTTGGGTATTTTATTCTCCCAAATGAATTTTAGGACTGTTTTTTCTAATGCTTTGAAGAATGTCATTGGTATTTTGATGGCAATTGCATTGAATCTATAAATTGCTTTTAGTAATATGGCCATTTTAACCATATTAATTCTGCCTATCTATGAACATGGGAAGTCTTTCCATCTTCTGAGGTCTTGTGAACCAATTTTTAATACCTATCAAGTGTTTCCTTATGGCGGGCACTGTATTAGTTATTTTATATTAACTCATTTGCTCCTCACTGCACTCCTATGAAACCCCTTTGACATAATTAACATACTTTTGTGGATGAAGC